GTTGAGACTTTGGATATTTCCAAGTTTTTAATAATAGCTTGTTTCGTTTAATGCTTTATAAAGATAGTTTTAGTTAAATACTTTAAAGTAATACTTTATTTAGTTTTATGTATATAGTTTATTTAGATAGTTTCATTTATGTATGATTCTTAGTTTGGTTTGATAGTTGATAGTTTACAGTAATATTTTTTTTTTACTTTTTACTAATAGTTTATTTAGTTAAATATCTTATAGTAATCGTTTTAGTTAACTGGAATATAATACTGATTTATTAAGATAGTTAACTGGTTAACTTGTTTCATTTCTATAGCTTGATTGATAGTTTAGTTAGATAGTTTAATAGTTCAGTTAGATAATCCAATGGTGTATGTAGAGCCTGTGAATTTAGTTTAAAATCATAGTGATAACTAATAAAATTTCAGGGTTAGCACATACAAGTTCAGTTTATGAATTAAACATAAAAGTTGTCATTTCTTTTGCAAATACATAATTTAGCTAATTCGCATGGTTGTCATGCCATTCTGGAATATTTTTTGGGGAAGTTTTATTTTTAATGACTTTTGACTGAAAGAATGGAGTCCACACTGTTTGTATTTTGAATGTTGTTCAAGTAAACAGTTCCAATGCAGTTTTGTATATTATCACTTTCATTACTTTGTTGTTAAAGTAATAATGTTATTGTGATTAAATAATTTCTCCTTAGAGATGGCGTAAAGATGTCATAACCATACACATTTTTATTTTTTCTTAAGGATGCTGTAAAACTATCATAATGGACTCCAAAAGTCAAGTTACTACTGTAGACTTTTCCAACAAAGATTTCGTTAATTCACGAGAGAAAATTTGTTCCAAAGATGGTAGTTATTACTCAGACACTGACGTATTATTCAGAAAATAGTTGTATTTGTAATCAAAGGTTCCCAAATATTGTCACAAGGAGTAGGCTGGAATGGTTTTGTAACTTTTTTATAGATCTTAAAATCTGTATTTTTTTCTTTACTTATATTGAAACCTTGACATCCAAAAAAAGAGACAGAACATCAAAACATACACACAGTAGGTCACAGAAAAACAAATTAGATAATGTATTTATTCTAATAATAATTGTAATAAATGCACTGCATACAGTACCAAGCAGCCAAGGATATAGGATCTACCTTGATTTGGCTAACAAAAATACTGCTGCTGATACAATAACTATCTTATACAATATATACAGTTAAATCAAATGTGCCCAATGCAGAAAGTGAGTTTGGTAATTTGAATCATTGGTCCATACAAAAAAGAAAAGAAAAAATAAAATACTGCAGATATTAAAATTACATTACTGATGCAGTCATTAAGTTCAATGCTACGGGAACAATGACAAAGAAGCAAAATATTCCTAACTTTATAATTTTCGGATTTTGCAGTTTGTCCACAGAGTATGGGTACATTGTTTCTTTCTCGAAATTATTGTGAAAATAAGAAGAGAGATTGAGAGAGAGAGAGAGCTGTGTGTGTGTGTGTGTGTGTGTGTGTGTGTGTGTGTGTGTGTGTGTGTGTGTGTGTGTGTGTGTGTGTGTGTGTGTGTGTGTGTGTGTGTGTGTGTGTGTGTGTGTGTGTGTGTGTGTGTGTAAATTTGCAGCATGACATATGTGTATGTAGTTATATATGTATTTATGTATTAATTTTTTTATGCACATTTGTATTTGTAACTGTATATATTTAACCATATAAGGTTGTGTACATATGACTATGTATATGAATATATGCACACACACATACAAATATATATATATATATATATATATATATATATATATATATATATATATATATATATATATATATATATATATGAATATGAATGTGCATATGAATGGATAAACAAGTGTGTACATTTTTTTTTTTTTAGCTTACATGATAATGTGTACATTTATGGGTGTGTATTTCTATGAATGTATGTTTATGCATCTTATCCATATGTATAAGTAAAGATATTTTAGGTAAGTATATATACAAACTATCTGAAGTAATAATAGCATTAATTACAATAAGGTATCAAAACATCACAAAAATATTCTATGTATGATCCAACAGACAAAGAACTCAAAAAAGTTAACACTGAGTGACAGCAATGATGAAATGGATGTGGTGATATAAATTAGAGAGCAAACAGCATGCCTTTGACAGCAAAAATGATGCTATATGGCTGCAGGTTACACGTGAGAAAACTGGCTCATAGTCTATAGCTCAGTGTATGGAATATGAAAGTTTAATTTGTAGTCAAAATAAAAAGTGGGTGTCAAATTGTTTGTTGGTGTTTGCAAGCTCAGTAACTACACAACCGTATTTACACGATGTATATATATATATTTTTTGGCATTTCTAACCCTAGAGTACTGAAAAGAAAGTCAATTTGCCAGGGCAGCCATAGACTTGACTAATTCAAATATACTTCCTTTATATGTACATAGAATAATCAACAAATTAATCTCACCAATAGGAAATGTGTAAAATCAATCACGAACTTTATAGATGAAATCGGTTATGTCAAAAAACTACCAAAAGGATAAAAAATATATGAAGTGTTTGTCTAGGGGTGGGTAGTGGAGAGAGAGGGGTAGGGGGAGGAGAGCTCACCCAAATGACTCTGATAGAAAACCATCCATAAAAAATAATCCACCATTTGGAAGATATACACAAGGACATTTTGACAACTAAACATTGACTCTCCTTTCAACAGATATGTGTTAATACATACCAAACGGCTTGACTTTGACAGGACTACATTCATAGCCAATTATTTAACTTTGCTGCTGCTCCTGTTGTTCACACAATCATATTCTGAACAGGACATGAGAAAATGGAGACAGTTGTGAGGAGAGAGCAGAGGGGAGAGAGGCGAGTGGAAAGAGAAGAGAGCAGAGGGGAGAGAGGCGAGTGGAAAGAGAAGAGAACAGAGAGGGGAGAGGAGACAGGTAAGATGCAAAAGGAGAAAGGAGAGGAAAGAACAGAGAAGAGAGAGGAGAGTGAAGAGAGAGGAGACATGAGAGAGAGAGAAGTGAGGGAGTGAGAGTGGGATGGAGAAGGAGAGGAAGGGTGGGAGGGAAAAAGGGAGGGAGGGAGGGAGGGAGGGAGGGAGGAGAGAGAGAGAGAGAGAGAGGGAGGAGGGAGGGAGGAAGAGAGAGGAAAGAGGAGAGGAAAAGAGAAGACAAAAGAGGAGTGGAGAGGAGGAGGAGGGCAGAGAGAAGATAGGAGAGGAGAGTGTTAATATAGTTTAGTTAGTTTAGTTTAATTCCATTTGTTACAATGGATATTCTTTGCTGTGACATGCTATCTTTTTATTTGCTTCTAAATTACCCCGTGTGCTAGGAATGGCCGGGGTTATCATGGCGCGCGGGATTAAATGTAGTTCAGCAAGATTGCTAGATGAGAATGCTACCGCTGCACCACAGAGCACATGGAGGAGAAAAGAGAGAAGAGAGAAGAAGAGAGAAGAGAGATAAAGAAAGAGAGCACATGAGGATACACAAACATTTTTGAACATCTCTTCAAAGCAAAGTTTTCCTAAACTCAGCTGTGTCTAGTTGAGCTTCTTGATAGGAGCAAGTTACCATTAGCTGCTTGTACTGTCTTAATCAAGTAGTGAAAATTCTTGTGTAACTGACAAAAAAGTCACAGAAAAATATTTGTTGAGAACTTTTTTTCTGAATGATAACCATACATGGTAAATCTCCTTAAAACAACCAACATAATACCATTTGCCTTTTAGCCAGGAACAGTCAGCATTCCATAAAATCTTGGAATATTACCATTCTTCATCATATTATATCTAGCCTTAAATTAATCATAATAATTATTACATTTCTTTTTACAAATCTCTGGAAGCTACCTAGGCCCACATCAAAACAAACACATCAGATGGTATACTGGAAACACATTTCTAAGAAACATATAGGTATCAGCACAAGAAAACTCCATGGTCATGAATAAAACACGACCTGTCTACTCAAAGACATATGGCTCTATATCTGACTAATAGTACAAATGTGACTCTCTCAGTGACTTTGCCTCATACAGGGAATTCAAAAGGCACATATTCATTGATAAAAAACAAACAAACAAATAAAAATGAAAATGAGTTGAAGTAAAGAGTTTGAATATAAAGATGCAGAATGACATTATAATCAATTTTTTTGTGAAATCTTTCTTACTGGAATCAGCAGTGATCTTTAAGTTCAAGATCCTGTTTCCTGCTACATTCCTCCCATAACATTAATCAAGAAATCAGCCTTATGTGGACTCCCTTCGTTTGGCTTCCATCAGCTAACACTTGTCAAAGATCTAGAGTAATGGACCCAGAGAATGTGTGTGTGTTCTTTGAGAGTTCTTACAGGCTACACATGAGAGGCACAATGCATAGAGTTAACAACCACCCTGCATGGGTTATGCTTGGGTGAAAACATACGGAAATGACAGGCTCAGACAAGGTCTTATTTGACTGGACACAGAACTCATTCCTTGTGATTTCAAGAAGATTATGATCTGCTTGTAAATTCCATGTATTTATTACTGTACAGTAGAAGTGTTCTGAAGTAGAAAGCTAAGAACTTTGACTGAAGGAAAGCTGTTATGTTCTTTTCTGATTGAATTCCACAATTGTTAAACTAACTTCTTCACCGAGGTGAATAAGCGTTTGATTAGCCATTCACTTTTGCTCATTCATAAAGAAGCATGACAAATTCAGTGAACTAATTCTAGCTTTAGCTCTCATAAAAAGATTCCTTGTATTTGGTGATATATATATGTTTTCAGCACAAGTAACAGTGGAGCTGTCAGGAAAGAATTCAGGGTCTGTCCCACCAGATGATGTGCTAGTGACCCACTGAGCGTGAGGGCGGAAAAAGTCTTTGTGGCAAGTTGGGTTGGATAGGCAAAATGTGCAAGAGATTACTGTTCAAAGTCTTTGCAAATAATCTTTATAACCATCTGTGTTCTGGAGTGACAGAACTATATCCAATTCAAGAAAGGCAGTTTACTTAAATGTTCATTATTTTTATAAATGCTTTTTTTTAAGTGTTGTACAATAATCACAACTTGTAATATTTCACCCATGTTAGGTGTTATAAACAATATGCTTGGCAAATACCCAAAATGTTGGCAAATCACAGCTACAGCAATACCATTAACCCTCTGATATAAAAATATTCAGAGTTTAGAGGCTCCTAAAAAGATTGCAGATGGAGAAAAAAAATGTAATCATATTATGTCAATAAGAAGAAAGTGCCTATGACTGATACTACCTAATTTTGATACAACTATAAAGTCTACGAGTATGTATTTTACTCATTATCAACAAGAAGGGGAATGCAGTAATCAAAAGTACTACAGAGACACATCTGCAGAAGAAGAAAAAAAAATGCCCAATGTTACTAGTTAAGCTCACAAACTGCCTAAATTTGAAGCAGTGGATCAACAAAAACGGAAGACAAGCCTCAGGTCGAGAGATGCTCTCCTCTCAAGGGCTTGGTTTGGGCACTTAATACCATCATGTACCTGAAGTTCACTTTATAGTGCTCTTTCATGTTTTTTTTTTCTTTCTTTTTTTTATTTTTTTTTATTTTATTTAGATTCCCCTTGCCTTTTCCTGAAATGCTTCCTTTGGTTATTTGATTCTATTTTGCAGATCACTGTGTACAATTCTATATATTTATATATATAAAAAATCAATGCTTTTTTTGTGTTTTTGTCTTTTTTAAATTCTTATTCTGTATTACTAAAAAGGACTTGCATTATGGCACTGCTGTACATTGTGCCCTTTTTACTCTCAGGCACAACTACACGTTAACCTAATATTCTCGTTAAATACAAGCTATGATGTATTATCACCATTACTATCACAAAAAAAAATTGTTTAGCCTAAAAGTACTTGTAAACTTTCTCAAAATCACTGGTTTGATGGGAAAAAGAGATAAAATGCTGACAAAAATAAGACTGAGAAGTCTGAATGTTTTAGTGCATTTAAATAACTCTACAACTCCATGACTAATAATTTTCTCTGATGTTAATGATATTTTAAAAAGTCTTAGTGGTTGAGCAAATGCACCTAGTGTACTTCTTACTCATTTCTGTGAAAATAATGTAAACATGAAATTGGTGCATCTTTTTTTTTTCTTTTTTTTTTTCTTGTTTATTTAGAATTTGTTAAATATGTTTATATCCTATCTTTGTTGTGCTAATCACAAGAAAGAATTTCTTGCATTACTTCCAAGACATTTGATAACTTGAGAACAAAGTTTATATTTGTTGAAAAGAAAAAAAAAAAAAAAAAAAAAAGGAAAATCAATTATTTGAATTTGGTGCTGAACCATGCTGATAAGATTAAAATACAGCTTAACATGCATTTCATATTACCTTACAGAGACCACACGTACAAGTGGGGTAAATTGCGTGGCTTACTGAGCTAAACTTGCACCCATATGTGACTCCTTCATAAATATTTCTGGACACTTATAGTAAGCATTCACTTGTTTCCTTTACCCTGAGGTTCAATGCTTATTAAACATATGAAAGAGGAGTATTTTGAATTATTTTTCATATCAAGCCTGCGTTAAATGTAGGGTGACGCGCTGTATCATAACAACTAGGCTGCGTTTTTTCCTCCTTTTCTAGTTGACACCTCCTGATGCTGGTATGTGACTTTAGACCATTAATGTGTTGTGTGGGTATCATTAGAGCAAGTGTGGTGCATGTGAAGTCCTCAGTCTCAGTTACATATACCTGTGCCTCATTACACCTTCACTTGGAAGACCTTCACTATATCACTTCTATGTGTTCCTTTAGTTGCCCCTCACTGACAATTCTTCCTTTCATATAATATTTTCCATTCCATAAGTGGTTTCACTTGCACCTTCTTTCCAGTCTTTCTCCTTACTCTTAAATGATACACTTGAAAGACTTCACTTGTCCACTTTAGCCACATTCATCCAGTCTTTGAGGTTGCAACTACATCAGGCACCAAAGTGGACACTGCATGCCACTATACTCTTATAGAACTCTTGTGAAGAGCAAACTAGCTTGTAGTACAGTGATGATGAAAAAATCGTATTTTAATATACTTCACAGAAAAAAACACTTTTACTGTATATAAAAATTAAAGTTAGGGTGATAAATATATATTTATGTATATATATAAACATGGAATTTCCACTAGCGTTCAGCCTTAAGTTTCCACCTGAGCACAAAGTAGCCAATTGTTCGAAGGATGATGAAAAACGAGAAGAGCACTAGGAAGTCTATCCAGAACTCTGCGCCCACTATGTCCATCTCTTCTAGAAACTTTTTGGGAGACTTGTAGTGGCAATAAGCCTCCGAGCAATGTAGCGGCTTTCTGTCAAACCCGTATATGCTGAGGAGTGTCCCTTCAAACCCGTACCTGTGAAGGAAGAAGGAGGGAGAGCGTTCAAGTCTGTGAAGCTTTAAATACTCTTCTTTAATGTCCAAGACTGCAATAGCTGTGAACACAAGATCATTCAAATGAATTTTCCTTCAAATTTAGTCCCTAAATAATGCCAAAGAGAGGTTCAAATGCAAAGAAAATGATTACCTTGATACATTAGTTCAATTTGCATTATTTGATGTTCTTCTACTTAAATTAATTAACTTCACTGACACACACACACTCACACGCATATGCACACGCACACATACATGCACACACCCCAACACATATATATAAAAGAGTGGAACTAACAACTTACCTTACATAAGATATATAGGTTATCCACCTTAGATATATTGGAATGGTTGAGAAATTAGCAAAGAATCCCGAGAAGAGCAACACAGGAATGGATGATATAGGACCCAGGAACACAGCACCCTAAACATGAAGAGAAATCAGGATATTAGAAAATGCAATGTTATATCAGTATATTCAAGTTTTGTTTCACTTGTAAGAGTTTTTAGTCTATTCATTATTTGACTCAGAGATAAAATTAAAAAAACAGTTACTGAAGACAATTTAGCTTTGTAGTATTCAAGTATGGCAAATGCTGCAAACAATTATAAACCCTTTAGCTAAATCATATAGTAGTATTGTATATTCAGTAACAGCAGTCAACCCTAAGGATGAAATTAAAATAATACAATCATGTACAATCCCTGCATACAAATTGACCTATTTACCTGTATATTCATACAAGCACCAATGGCCAGGCCGAGAGACTGTGCCACTAGTGATGTCATGATACACATTGTGGTGAACATGAAGAACCTATGCGCCTCTAGGGGTTGGTCAGTCAAAAAGTACACCAGTAACACGTACAGTAATGGATAGATCACCTGTAAAGGTTAATAAGTTGTAATTATCTATACAACATACAGTGTGGGTATAATTTAAGTTCCATCAATCAATTTCCTTTTCCAGCTTACTTTCATACAGGATCTCTCGGCCAAAATAATACATTTTTAAAAGCTTTGGTATATAATTCTTCAGTTCTATACCTGCCTCAGAGCACATAAAATCTTTTATCACTGGAACCTTTTACTGTTCAAGAAAAGCATCAAAGTATGCATTAACCATGATACATCTTTGCATGCATTTAGAATCCTGATAAACAGACAGAGATACAAAAACAGCAGCCTACCTGGAAGGGCATGTCAGCCATTGTCTTGGCTAAGTAGTATGACTTCAGGGAATACCAGTAATTCAAATGTTCTCGTATGAAGACGTTCATCTCGAGAGGGACTGTAAAAATGTTAGTAAATTAAGTACTGCAAGCAAGTATAAAGATAATTCTTAAAAATGGAGATGAGGCATATTTTAAGGTTGAATGCTAATTTTAGCAGATTGCAATTAGCAAGTATCATGCAAGGTTCCTTTACAATTTCTTGAGTAAAATATCTTGTATCTATTTATTTTTAAAATTAGTTTTAATTTAGAATCTTAGGATCATCCACAATACAATGCTCCATTACTGTTTTTTTCCGCATCATACTTCATAATAATTATTATATGTTAAATTAATACCAGCAAAATGAAACAATCTTACAGCAACTTACAAGTGAGAATGGTTGGCATCATTGCGGTGAACATCAGGAATAACATACAGAAGAACAGACATCCAGAGTTGTTGAACACTTTGCCTGCCTCATTTCCGATGTTATAGTAGAGGAGTCCAATCAGCAGACCAATGAGTGTATGTGAGCAGATACGCATCTTGGTCAACATCTGCAAAATAAACCATAATGAGGGATAAGTCAAACTAAATTCAGGGAAACAGGGAGATAGAGAGAGACAGGGGAATAGAGAGAGAAAAGCAGAAGGACAAGCAGAATG